CATTGGCTATTGATGCACGAGAAATTATCATGTCATCCTGTAGATGGCAGTGTATCCACTTACTGTTAAAACTACTTGTATCCTGACAAGGAGTTTTAACATTTAAAGGAATGGTTCACCCAAAAATTAAAATTCTGTTATTATTTAATTGTTTTGTCTTTTTACCTTTTTTTTTCCAAACCTGTATGACATCCTTTCTTCCTTGAAGCAATGAGGTGAATTTTTCAATAGAGCGCTGCAGTGATGACATTTTTTATTTTTTTTTAGGCCAAGGAAGTTAGCATCACCCTGGCTCTCCTGACAAAAAAAAACAAACAAAAAAAAACATAGGACTTTTCCATCAGACAGTATTAAAAGTAGAAACAGGCTATAAACGAACTACACCACGGTCACTTCAATGTCACCATCACTGAGCTTCCAGAAATTCTTTCAGTGTTTAATTTCAAGAACATTTTCCCTGAAAATCTAAATTAGAATAGTTTGCCAGAATGTGATTATAAACACAATAAGGCTATGAAAGTGGACTAGTGAGTAGATGAGTTTATCTGTTCGACCCAATGAAGTTTCATGTCCCTGACAACCTCTGTAGTTCCATTTAGCCACGCGTTAGCAGTCAACCACCTTTTCAAGACAAGTAAAAGCTTTAAAAAAACATCACAAGGGGATGTTACTGATTTATTTTATGCCGTAGACTAAAACATGAAAATATTTTGAGCTTATATTAACCACAGACATCATTTCAGGCATTTAACCAAAGACCCACTGACTTCAGGATTGAAAAGTGCTAAGTGAGTTCTAAAATGCTAACTTGTTTCCAGGTTTTGGCCTACAAAAACATGTAATCCCTGCAGCACTCTATGAAATTGAATCAGGATATGGGCTGTTGATCTACAAAATTACAAAAGCACCATAAAAATGCCATAAAAGCGGTCCATATGACCAACATTTCAAGTCTTCTGAAGCAGTTCAACAGCTTAATTTAAGTCATTATTCACAAAAATCTACCTCTCCTTAAAGCTATTCATAAGACTTTTTGTCTGTTTGTCAATGAATCAGTTGATGCAGTTCACAAAAACAAAGTGATTTGATCACAAATCAGACCAATTCCCGAGCTTACGGTCTCACAGATGAAGATATCATATGGCTTCTGAAGACCTTATCTCCTGCTGAAAGAGTGTTGTATTGGTTGCCCATTTAATTTCCTGCCGCTTTAATTCAGGGGAAATTCAGCTGAAGGACACATTCGTCACGTCTTTGCTATGCTAGGTGGAACAGAACCTCAAAAGAGCCTCAGATCTTCTTATCTATCACAGCCTTTACATCTTGCAACAAAAATTACTATAAAATCTCTTTTTAGAGTGTTTTTCTCTTTTTAAAGCTAAAAGCTTTTAAAAATATAAAGAAAACAGGTTTGAAATCAGTGCATTCAGTTGTCTGGTTAAGTGACATTCTGATGAAACATTTGACACAGCATTGAAAATATCATGGAAAAATATCTGCCTCACAAGAACCCACCAACCGAGGTGCTGGATTCCTGTCGTTCTCCAACCCCTGACATCAGGCAAAGGCGAGCTATTTATGGCTGTGCTTGAAACATTAGGTCCAGCCATGCTGCTCACAGCCAGCTTCTATTGGCATCAGCCCACACTGAGGATTCAAACATTTATGAGTAATAAAAGTTCTTAAGACAAGATGGCTCTTCAACGCTTTATCTATAATGATAAAGGTTAAATAATCCCACAGACTGGATGTTTTTGAGGGCAGCTGTAAGTAACTAGGGCAAAAAAGAAACAAACAAAGTAGATGGAGCATTTCCTGGAAACATGATTGGTGGACAGTTTATTCTAGCTAAGCACCCTTGCACATTCCATGGACATTTTCCACCTTGGTGTGAAGAAATGATCGGTTTATGTACCATATTCACCTTGTTAACAGAACACAATGCAAGCATTTACAATACCACAAAAAAGCATTTCTTAAAACCACTGGAAGGCCCACAGAAAATTTAACTTTCTTGTGTAACATTACAGTAATAAAAATACTGACAAGTTCAAAAAGACATTTTATGGTATGAAGTAAATAGCATTTGAAGAAAATCTCAAATATCTTGGGTCAAAAAGGAAAAAAAAATCGGAACAGCATGTGCAACATCTAACTTTACCAGCAAAGTTTGTAATTATTGAATAAAATATCTGTACATCAGAAAACAGATATATAAAAGGTATTCTAATATTTTTTATCTAAAATTTGTTCACTTACAAATATTTTGGACCAAATATATGACTGCAGAACATTTTTATTTATTATGGCTAATACTTCTTTCTCTCTCAAAAAAACAAACAAAAAAAGACAAAAAGTCACACTGATGGTAATTTCACTAGGGATGCACCGATACCGATACTGAGCTCCTGTACTCGTTAAAATGCCCCGATACCACACAGCATGTGATAAGTGCCATATTCAGACAAAGAAACACCGACAACAGAACAACAGACAGCAGAATGGAGTTATTAGAGATTAAGCATATCTACGAATATACTGTTAAACATTAAGTATTAACGCCTGTATAGCTGATGTGCGCGAGATGATAAGCAAAGCACGCGGAGTGAATTGAGCGCGCGGCGGTGCAGATGCGCGAGCTTGTCGAGTGAATATACCTTTCTCACAGACATCACTGGAAAGTTTGTAGTTCGGTCGGATACGTCAAAAACAAGTAAGTAAAACAATGCACAAGTTACTTAACGGTAGGGAGAGAAAGCGAGCGAGAGAGCGAGCGAGCGCACTTCTGTTGTGTGATCTTTGATGTTCACTCATTTAGCACACGCATCATTTGGATTAAAAACTATGCAGGACACTATAGTTCATTTATGTAAGTGAGGATAGCAAAAAAAAGTAAACTGTGACAAATTATACCAAACAATTCTTCATACAGTGGACTACCAGTAAAACTGATAGAAATTTGGGACCAAAAATTATTCAGACCAAGTCTGGGAAAAAAAAATTGTTGAGGTTTGCATGAAGCAGGATGACAGCATGCCCAGGAGACTACAGGCTGTCATTGAGGCTAAGGGTTGCCGGACTAAGTATTGATAGTTGGTTAAATACTGTCATACTAACAGCTGTCTGAATAATTTTTGGTTGATTGTAATTCATTACATACCTTTCTATCAAAGTTATCTAACATTATCAAGCTGAATTTGTTCTGACACAGTTTAACTCTGAGTTCTTGTCATATTTTATTACCATTTTCTAAACTATAGCGAATAAACTGTGATAATGTGAGAAATGTTGAAGGTGTCTGAATAAATGTTGGTTTGACTATCTATTTGATAAATTAAAATAACCAACTAACATTATACATACTCTTTTGGTTTCTGTACCCACTACCCAATATTTAAAAAATTTACAAATGCAATAAAAATATCGGTATAGGTACTCGGTATCGGCAAGTACCAAAAATAAAAGTATCGGTATCGGGCGAGTACTGGAAAAAGTGGTATCGGTGCATCCCTAAATTTCACAATTTAAAATATACTCTTTTAACACCAAACAAAACATTTTCTTTGTACATGTTAATAAATAAATAAAAGTTAAAAGAGAAAATGTTGGTCCATTAATGTCGGGAGAACTACTTCCTTAAACTGTTGAAACATATAACAATTTATTATTTAACTTCATATCTTATCTTGTCAAATCCAATATGGCAATATTTCAATATTCTGTGCTTCATATGCAATATAAACAGACCTATAATTAAACCAACATAAATTGGCTTTGTTTGCATTCAGCATATTGCACGCCACCTCTTCAATTATTTGAATTATGATATGCTTTCACATTACAGCCATTCTGAAGGCATATACATTCAGATCATCTACCACTTTTCTTCTGAAAAGTCTTAAAATGAGTTATTGCATGAAGAATAAGGTAAACAGTAGCACATAGAATGGCAAAGCAGGGCTCGCAAAATCGCTAGCCCGACGTCCCGGGGCTATTGTGTTTTCCAGTCGGGCTACCAAAATGCATCACCGTCCTGCCCGACGGGCTATCTTGAACAGTGATATAAAATTCCTTCCTTGATTTGCGTTGTTCACTAGCTTGTAGGGGTAAAACGGATCATAGTTGATCATTTGCACGCGTTTCTAAGTCTTGCCGATTTAAACATTCAAGTGTTTTAAACCATTCATGCGCATTCGGAGCTGCGCGCACAGAGAGCCGCGTTTCAGACAATGCGCGTACACAGAATTGATTCCTCTTTCGCATATCCTTGCATCTGAATGAACACATACACACAAAATTATCTCAAAATAACTGTCTCAGCAAGTATTCTCGTAAACACAGTCGGTTACATCTTACGTAAACAGTGGTGAAAGAAATCTCAAGTGCATCATTATATTGGATCCGTGCATTCGGTCTTAAAGGGGCAGCAGCCTATAAACAGCCTACTGCTGTTCCATAAGCGCCACCTGCTGTCAAAGAGTGAAATTTGCGTCTCATTCACAAAGCTAAAATCAGACCATTCTGTTTTTGCTAAAAATTTCGAAATTATACAATCTAATTGCAATCTAAATAACATGCATTTAGCATCTTTGTTTGGATCGTGATTAAAATGTAGTGGTTGCCTCTGATTTTAAATGAAAAAAGCACAGCCAAAGCCTTAGTTTGTTTATATGAAGAAATACATTTTATTTGTATGATTTAATTGTTTGTTTTGGGATTTGTTTAAACATTTCAAGTTATAGTTTTATTATTTGACATATTTCAATTTCACAAAGAAATGTGCAGCTAATATGATCCGAGCCGTGGATTTTGTGATCCATTGCACCCCTACTCTCTTGTCTTGTTATTTGAAGAAAAAAAGCAATCACTTAAGTTTTTAATCATGCTGATTTGTGCGCAGTGAAGTTCAGCCGATGTCTTTTTTTTTTTTTTATTCGCGCTACTTAAATTCATTTTGGGCTACCAAAATCTGAAGAATGTCTGCCCGAAGGGGTACCAGCGATTTTGAAATTTTGCGAGCCCTGCAAAGGTTGCCTGACACACCATATCTTCAACGTTCATTTAAAGTCCACTCAGGATTACTGTAAAGCACTGCTTTCATCACTCGGCAGGACGAGTCCTCATTTCCACACCACAATCACGCCAATACCGACACTGGCAGGATCACTTCACTGTTTCACTGAAAGAAAAAGATCATTAGACCCATCTATTTGAGCTAAACGTTGATCTGACTGCCTGGCAACCAAGGTCTGAACAGCGTCACAATAACCACACATGTCAGACAGACATTTTGCTTATTGTTTCCATACTTTCCCTTCTAGAGCCTGCAGTGTGCTTCTAAAATGCTAGAGGATGACAGGTCAATGCCCTTGTACGGTATGAAAAGATTGCCATTCAGTTTTATAGAGCTTGAGTGCGAATCACTTTCTAATTGAATTGGATAAAATTTTTAATCTGATAAAGATGGTTTGTCCTGACCACAGTGTATTTTATGCAGTGAATTATTGGTTGCAGACTGCATGAAATAATAGAAAAAGGCATTTACCAATACAAAAACAAAAGAAAAAAAAAGAATCTATTTTAAAGTTTATTTTCAAGGATATTTTGTTTTGTTTTGTATGATAAACAATTATGGTAGTGCACTGGGTTGCCACTTGATATCCAATGTAAAATCTGAGTCCTGAACCATTTGAGAGCCACTGGTTTAATAATCTGATAAGTAAGTGGCCCTAATGCACCACATACTTAATGCAAACTGAATGAAGTAAAAGAAGAAATAAACACACTCACTTCATACAACATTTGTGTCGGATGTGCCGACTGGAGCAGCTAAAGCTTCACGTGTGTTTAGTGAACTGAGCTTCTCATCTTCATCACTTGTTTCCTTTGTTCTCTTCTTTCTTCTACATGGATTATATTGTTTGCTGTGAAACGAGACAGGAAGAGAGGGAAAAAAAACATTCAAGGTTAAAAACACTGTAGATTGACTCTGTTAAGCTATGAAAGTATTAATAATGTAACACATCACTCACTGTGTACAGACACATATGAAGACGATGAGCAGAATCAGAAAGACCAATCCTGCGACCACACATGCAATGATTATTTTCCTTCGTTCTCCTACATGATAATCAAGATCAAGATATTCACACCTAGTGCCAATATATCCTGTTTCACACCTGTGCAAAAAAAAGAAAAGAAAAATCTACATTTTCATATCTGACTGGTTGAGAGAGGGACAGGTCAAAGTCTCACCTGCATGAAGGAGTGTTCTGCTCCTTTACAAAACGGCAAACACCATGGATACAGTAATGCTTGTATTCTTTTGGACACTTAGAAAAATGCCCACTCCATTTGTGCTCATCATTTGAATCTATAGATTTGAAATAGGTAAACATATCACCATTAGACACATACACATAAGATTTTTTAATGTTTCTGAAAGACTCTTCCCAAGGCTGTATTTATTTGACCAAAAATAGTAAAAACAGTAATATTGTGAAGTATTATTACAATTCAAAATAACTGTTTTTGATACTATTTTCAGGATTCTTGGAAGAACAGAAAGCTCAAAAGACTTCACTGACACTTTTAATCAATTTAAAACATCCTTGTTTAATAAAATTAATCTATTTAGTCATAAAAACTGGTAAGTAAAATACAGTGGGAATTCACAAATACTAAAGTAATAGGCCGGTTACTTAAACTATAGGTCAATACAAACCTAAACTATTTATATATTCTATACTTTGTCTAAATAAATAAAAAAATACACCAAAAACTAAAATCAGTCATTTAAAATATCACAAGTGAATTTAGGCATCTTGCTGTACATAATGCACAGCATGAAAAAAGGGATATTCACTTTGAGATTTGTTAAAGATTACATTTAACAGTGTTATCAAAGCTGTTTGTGTTTTTAAAATTAAACTTTATGTGAATGTTAGCTAATGGCAAAGGTGATCTATATGAACATACACAATAAAGATCCAATATCGATCAATATAATACATGTTAAAAAAAAGCTCTAACTAAAATAATATCTATGTATTGTGGGTCCTTACAATACAGAGTAACACAACCAGGGTTGTCTGTTTACTTATTTACAATATTATGCATGTCATTATACAAGCCAACTGTAAACGCCAAACTCAAGAGGATTGAGCAAGAAAAAAGACCGGTCTACAACCACTGAAACTTGAGCTTTGACTTCAGAATGAACTAAAAGGATCTAATTACCACCTCTGGCCACATATAACATGATCCGAGTTCAGTCAGAGAGGATTATCTGCTATACAGAGATGCTAAACTTGAGCTTGGGAGCGTTATCACTTCTTAAATAAAATTACAAGGCTTAAAAGTGTCAAAGAAGCTTGGTTATAATCATAACAGCCCAATTTTCCTCAGTGTATGCAAATGCATTTGGCAGAATTCTGTGGTGATCAATAACACCAGTGAAAATTTGTGAAAAATGCCATAAGAAAATCTTTTAATTTAATATCCTATTTATCTCTTCAGCAGGTGGTCAGGCTTCAAGACTTTCACGTCATGCCCAGGGGGAAGCCCAGCTTTTACAACACAACAGGGGTAAACACAGTGTTACATCTCACGTCTTTCAAGTCAGTGGTAGACAAACCTCACCACAGCTTCGAAATACGCTTTCAGGTGACGGCGAATTTTATGGAAAATATTGAAGGCTTGGTTTGCTCATTTCACTAGGGGTGACAATGGTATTTACCTGTGCAGTTGCTGCTGTTGTCATGGTGATCGCATGGTGTCTTTGTGGTATTCCATTCAGCCTGGGAGTATTTGCATAGGACAACAGCTGTCCAGGCAAATGTTATAGTGGGTTATATAGGCCTTTTGATTGTGGTTACACTTTGAAATCCCTCCCTTTATGATTAACCAATAGAGTGCCTTCTAATGTGCCAAACTGGCTTCCAGTGCTAAGAATAGAATCTTTCATAGTATTATAAAAGAAGTCTGACACACAACTGAAGCAAAGACGCACCCGCTGCTGATGTCACGAGCACATTCATAAATACAAGTACATAAAAGACGGTAAAGTTGGCAAACGGGTACTTCTACAATATGCAGTGTCGTAAAATGTTCTATAGCTCTTGCAAACGAACAAAACAATGGTGGACAGTACCTGTTATTATTATTCCCAAAATGAACCTGCGCGTCCTGTCCATTTTGCGTTGCGCGTCAAAGCGAAGACTTCATTCCCTGTGTTGCTTCAGAAGTCATGTCCTTCATTTTAGAGGGATTATTTTATTGAACAACAACACTGAGTTGCTACAAACTTTCCAGCAGCCTTCCCAAAGTTTACCTTCGGGTTTCCTCAAGTTTAGAGGAGTGACGGGTTGGATGGCGATTATTGAACCGCGTGTGGGAGGCGCTAGTGAGTTATCTCCGCCTTTATGCGTGAATGAACATTTACTATGGGCTTTTACACGAGTTTAGACTAACAGAGATGTTTAACTTTTATTAGGCAAAGGATTCATGTTGATACACATTGCATAATCAGCGTTTCCTATAATGGCATGTGAATGTTGCCATATTAATTAATACATGTATTTACATACTTTATGACGCTTATACATGTTTTTTTTTGCTTTTACATGCTTTTACACACAGGAACAATAGTTTGATAGCAAATAATAACTGACAGTTCTACTTTAAACCATCTATTGGAAAACCCTGAACTTTAAAACGCATAGCCATGGAATGGCAGCAAGGTTTAGAGAGAGACTAAAGCACATTCAGTAAAATAAAGACTTTTATTGAGTGCAAAAAAAAAAAAAAATCAATGACACAGCATCACACAGTCAAGCGTAGCGTTAGTTCTGGCAGTTTGATGGTAGTGGTCCTGACAGAAATATAATCATGACGGGGAGTACCATCTCTGAAACCTCGTTGAAAGAAGAAATAAAATCTAAGAATTCATGTGTCTCATGAATGTGTTCATGTGTCATATGTTAAGTATTTTTATGATTTATTAACACATTTACAGATTTTTTAAATCCAAATGTTTCATTTTTAAATTATGCTTTTTAAAGATAAATTAGTGAAATTATGAGATCAATCAATTCCTATTTTATTATATTGACAGTCTTTTTAGCAGTAAGTAATAAAAAATGGATTTGTGAAAGAATAAAAAATGGGATATCGTGATTATGAATACAAAATGAAGACAAAATAAAATGGAGAAAACGCACGTCATATTTGTGTGCCCTTGGAATCAAAAAGTAAAAAAAAAAACCTGGTTCACCGAGTCATTAGAAATACTTCAGTCAGGGTGCCCAAGGGGTAGCCTACATCTCTGACTCTCCCTAAATCCCCTCAAGTTTCCAGACGGCGCCTCTTAATGAAGCTGAGAGGGCTCTGTGGACACAGCACACTGCTGGAGTGAGGATTTGTGTTCATTGGCCTTGGGATTTCTCATGGGAGATGGAGACGATGTGTGACTGGCACTCAGGCCGGGGTTGCCAGAGTTTGCTCTCCTCGTCGCACACAAGCCACGTATTATCAAGGGTCACTGCAAGCAACGACCCCTTCAGCATCTGCCATGCTCAACTTAGCACAGACACGGCAGGGCTTACTGTGCTCGTTCATGAGAGAGCCACGTAAACTGTGATTTTCAGTAAAATGTGCTTATAAAGTTTTACAGATTGATTGCATATATCTTTTACAAATTTACTTTAGAATGGAAAAAGTAATAGAAATATATAATTTTCACCAGCCAATCATGTACATCTAAGTAAAATTATAATTATGACATTATGAGATACTACAGTACAATTACATTTAATCATTTAGTAAACACTTTTATCCAAAGTGACTTAAAAATGAGGACAGTAGAAGCAATCAAGCCAACAAAAGAACAAAAATATGTAAGTGTTGTGACACTTAGTCCCAGTTAGTCTACTGCAGTTTTTTATATAATAGATAAAAATAATAAAAATAGAAATAGAACAGAGAGAGCTAGTGTTAGATGGTCAAGTTATTATTTTTTATAATAAATAAAAAGAAAACAAGTAGGTAGAACAGAAATAGAATAGAGAGTGCTAGTGTTAGAGGGTCAATTTTTTTTTAAATAAATAAAAAGAACACAAGTAGATAGAATAGAAATAGAAGAAATGCTAGTGTTTGAGGGTCAAGTGTAGATGGAAGAGATGTGTTTTCAGCCATTTCTTGAAGATGGCTAAGGACTCAGCTGCTTGGATTGAGTTAGGCAATTCATTCCACCAGCAGGGAACAGTTAAGGTGAAAGTCTGTGAAAGTGATTTTGTGCCTCTTTGGGAGGGCACATAAGTCCGAAGCAGTGAATTTAGGTAAAGGGGTGTATAGTCACAATTATGAGATACAAAAAAAAAGTCATAGTTATGACATAAAAAGGGGAAAAAAATTATAACAAAAATCATGACAATATTGTGTCAAAATTATAAAATTATGACAAAAAGTCAAAATTATAAGAGTTATAATTAGCCTACTACATAACTCAAAATTAGGAGAGAAAACAATTATGACATAAAAAAATGATGAGATAAATTATTATGAGATAAAAGCCATAATTATGACAAAGACTTAATTATATTAAATTGAACAAAATTGAAATTATGAATCAAAATTATGACATAAAAAGTCAACATTCTGGCAATAACAACTGACAAATTGTCAAATTCTCATAATCTCATAATTTCAACAAAGCATTTCTTTAAACGGGATTCCTTACCTACAGGACATACAGGTTTTTGTAATGAACCTCTTCAACCTTTGGGGTATATGCCAAATAAAAGGTGAAGTATTTATCCCAAACTAAAACCTCACAACACTGAAAATCACCAACAATAAATCATGCTTGTGGTCTTAAAGGTCTGTGGTCTACATTCACACATTGTGTAATATGGCTTCCAAAATTATTCTTGGCCAATTCATGCTCTCAACAGTGGTAAACATCACCGCCCGGTGGGGAAAACAACCCACTGCAGGGTTTTGTCCACTTAGTTTGAGACACAAATTAGGCAATGAGCAAATAAAATGTTGATTAACTTGCTATTATTTGGAAATCTATGCAAAAGCCGTTTTAAAACACCATTAGCAAACCAACAGGTGGCTGGTTAAATAAAATTGCAGTCATTATTTCACAAAAATAGCTTCCCGTTTGAGAACAATCCATATGCTGGTGGCTTATTTTAGATGAGGCCATGCTTTTTCAAACAGTTAAAATGTTAATGTTAAATGTTTACATGACAAAACCCATATATTTAAATAAATCTAACTTTGTTCACAGATTACACAAGCAGCCAGAGTCAAAGACTATTTATCTGTATTTATACCAGCTGTTCTCACGTAGTAACCCACGTTTCAATCCTCTAACAGACTCTCTGCTACAATCATCACGCACAGAGAGCAACGAGTGCGAGACCTCTTATGTCTGCTCTTTGAGAGGATTCTTAAATGCCTCGATCATTTTATGATATATCTCTAAATTTAGCTGAATACACACAGATGTGAATCACACAGACAGAACATGACTAAGAATCAAAAGGCTTGATTGCTATAAGCACAGAGGGCTGCATATCTGCATGAAAAATAATGAATCATTTTGAATCATAAAATGTCCTGACAAATGAGTACATTGATTAAAATCAGTTTATTTTAACAGATGTAAAATAGATTAAATCCAGTGCAAGTTGTTCATGAAATATTAAACAAGTTCTTTGTGGCTACAGCTTGATATTTGTAATAAATATGAATTTTCATAAATAAAAAATGCTGATTTTATACTAAGAGACTGATTCGTTTTATTTGAGTTTGAAGTTCCCTCACATAACAATCTCACAGCAAAATATTTTGTCATCACACATTTTGTGTCCCTGATTCTCCAGTAAAAGCAGTCTTTATAAGAGCTCATTTGCACACCAGAGCTTGTGCTTCAATCAGAACATAGAATGCAAATGAGAACCCAGGCAGCTTGATGTGTTCTCCAGGCGGCAGCTCACGTCCCTTCAACGGAGGAAGTGTTCGGTCATCCACCATCCTCAGCACTTGTCCATTCAATTTGACTGACCTAGAAGATGGACAAAAAGTGGGATTTAACAATAACAGGGTTGTTACTATAACAGTTGATATATAACGTGTCTAATAGCTTCCAAGATTTTAGGTTAAAATGCATATGAATAAATAAGTGAAAGTGTACGTATATCTTAACTGGTCACATTTTTTTACACTTTTATACCACTTTCATTCATCACATTTCTGACTCATTTTAAACAGTTTGAACAAATTATCTAATAAAATGATTCAACGTTGACTATATTACATGCAGTCTTTCTATTAATCTGAGGTAATAAAAGTATAGTAAAGTGTAGTATAGCATCCCCAAAAAAATGATTGCATTGTACAGTCCAAACATTGTGAGATCACGAGACATTACCTGGAATAAAGACTCTGTTCACCAGCCTCAGCTGATTGTAGCACAAATGCTTCAATTGTGCTGTTGGCCATATGGTCAGGCAGAATAATAGTGACTTCATTTTTGTTTAGGTTTAAGGCAAATAAGGTCACAGCACCTGGTCTATAATGTGTGCTGACGAAGAAGAAAAGGACACCATATGAAAGGTTAAGGTAAATGTCTTTAGAAAATAATTATTGTGAACGAGAATACAAGTACCTTTTTCTGTTGGTGCAGTGAAGGTATACCCGTATTGGTTTCTTTGGTCTTGAATTCATATTAACTTCTGCTTTTAAAACCTCTGGGCCAACAAGCCTTTTGTATAGCAATGATAGCCAATAATCCTGCCGTATGTATGAAATAGTTTAAAATACAAAATGTAATGTAAAGAAAGAAAATAAAATAGGATAACTGACTGGTCCAAGTTCCTGGACTGATACAGAAGTTATGTAACAAAGATCAAACACATAAGAAACACTTACTGGAAGAGGATCTAGGTTATCATCCACTAAATGGTAAGTGCCAGAACCAATTAACACCTGTCTAATGACGACATCCAAACCAAGTTTGGCAGCAAGTCCCAGTTTGTCCAGCCACCTTCGATAAACAAAACAGTTTGTGTAATTAGGACAAGTAGAATAATTATGGAAACTTGTGTATCAATAACTGAGTTAAACTGCTATTTCTTTCATTGCCATTCTTATAAACTGATTTGAACACACTGGAAGTTTTAATTTATAAATCATAAATGTTTTTTGACTTACATGAAACCAGCTACAAATGTGTCGGAGAGGCCAACAGCACCTCCACCATATGCCGAGCTTGTCTCTCCTAGCCAAACCTTCTTCCCCGGAGAAACAGATTCAACAATCTGAAGGCAGAATGTTTATCAGTTAATTTCAGTTATTATCTGACATTTCTCACTGCTGAATCTGATCAATCTGATTGCCACAAAAGACTTTCTATTTTAATATATTGTGCAGGATTACTCTGGTACCTCGAGGACCTCGTTAATTTTTGTTGCGAGAGTATCAAGCACTTCAGGGTCAAGGAAATCATGTAAAGACGTGTCTCGGCCATTCACATAATAGCTGTAAAGAAGAAAAACAAGAACAAGTTCAATACAAAGACTCATAAAAAGCAAATTTAATTTATTTCTGATTTTGTGAAAGGAAGTAAATCATAACTTACTGATGCCAGGTGCATGCAGTAATGGTATTTTAAAGGATATTAAAATAGAAACCATTATGGATTGATTTTAAGATTTTACTGCTTGTTTTTAAGATTTTAAATGGGTTGGCGCCGCCTTATTTATCAGAGCTTTTACATGTCCACACTCCTGTCAAAGCACTGAGGTCATCCAATCAGATGCTCCTCGACGTTCCGAGATCCAGGTTAAAAAATAAAGGTGATCCAGCTTTTTCAGTGGCTGCTCCTAATCTCTGGAATAGTCTACCTGTTCACATAAGAACAGCTCGGACTACTGACATTTTTAAGTCGCCCATCTGACCCATCTGTATTCCTTAGCTTTCATTTTGTGTTGAGCTTTGACTGTGTAATTTTTATTGTGTTTTGTTTTGTTTATTTGTTTGTGTATTCTAATATTGTTAAGCACCATGGTTGTTTTTAAATGTGCTATATAAATAAAACTGAAATTGCTGTACTAACTCGCGATAAATTCCCCATTAGGTAATAATTTAAAAGAAGTGAAATTAAACTTACCAGAGAATTTAGTCTTTTTGTATTTTCCCTCTAGTTCCTCCTGAAGTAAAGTCTTTGACTGTAGGACCCATTCTTGCTTTAACCTATTTTCCAACAATGGAGGCAATTCAAGTCTCTCACATAATTTTTCTGTAGGAATAACAGTAGATGTGGCTGATTAAATCCAAAACACATTGAACCCATGTGGTTAAAAGTCATTGCAAAAATTGCTAAGAAATATGAAGGTATTGAGTGTCCAAATAAGTTTTGGGGCGACTACAATCTTTAGATACAACAGGCATGTAGGTGCATTGTATGTTCAAGGTGTTTATGTGAATGAGTTTATTGTTCCCTCATTAAAGCAAAACTGGAATCATGCTGTTGAAGTCAGATGACAAAAACCACAGTCAGCTTTCTCATGTAGTGAAGCTAAGTGACAGAGGTTACCTAGAACAGCGCTGCTGCTGTTGTCTCTCGCTTGAAAATATCTTCCGCGTGGATTGAATGTCATAAAATCTTGTTTGGTACCTCCAAATCGCAGAAACGCTGGGACCAAGGCTTTGGCAAGGGTTCTTAACGTTGGTGAACTGCAGAAACATCATATCACTTCTTTTAAAATTACATCACAACTTTATTCATTTGAGGTCTGCTTTAAGAGAAGTTACTTACTTCAGTAGGTTCATGAACCTCTCCTCGGCGATTAAACTCGCATCTATAGCCACAGAGAGAAACCTTTCGTCCACCCGTCGGGCCACATGGGACAGATCCAGGTCAACACGTATGGACTGAACATCATCAACAGATATTACTGTTTTGGCTCCGACATACAATGCGCCAAACAAAGCAAGAGCTACAATCGTGGAAACTGCTGTGGCCGCAGACTTCATCTGTTCAATCCGCCGGTGTCCACACTCAAGCTTTGCTGGCATCGGTTTCATGCGCTCATCCAAAACACACTGGCGAAATATTTATTTTTATTTACGTTTTTCGTTGTTGTTGTTGTTTTTTGGCACCGTCAAAGCTACTTCCTTCTTTCTTGTTAGACCTGTTCATGACAAAAAAATTTTCATGAAATTTTCATGTTCATGACAAATATCTCACGCTAGTGACTGCAGGCGTGGCTTCAGGAGGATTCTTTTTTTTTTTTCTTTTTTTTGCAAAGCTTAACTGATTGGCTGTAACTCACAACATCAGAGGCAGCGCTGGAATTGGTTTCCCCTTTGTGGCTGACTGGTTATAGAGTATTTATGACACAAAATAACACATGATGATCATGGAAATGAGTAACAGAGATGCTACTAAAAAGAGGTTACTCCATTTTTATTTCAGCCAGACATGTAGGCACAATATAGTTTACATAATGCCAGGTGGATTAAATAATATACATACTATTTACATCATATAAATAAAAATAAACAAAAATTTACAAAGATGGGAGATCAGATGGCAGCATAAACAGGTCATCCACCTCCTCCTGCAAGGCCTCTGCTTTCTCTTTTATTAACATCTGAAAATTAACATTGAGACAGTTAATATAAATAAGCAAGTGTGTTTTCTCTTATATGTACATCTTAAAAGGATAGTTCACCCATAAATGAAAATTCTTTCACACCCTCATGCTATTCCAAACCTGTATGACTTACTTTCTGACGTGGAACGAAGAATTTCCTGAATGTCCTGGTCAGTCTTTTCTCTTTTGCATGCATTGACAATAAATAGTGACCAAAAAGAATTCAGAATCACCAAAATCGTCATAAAAGTAGCCTTCACACACTCTGAGGAAGGCTGAAGACCAAAATGCATCAGTGTGCAGTGTTTTAGTCATTTTAAATAATTCTATTGTGATGCCATAATGGGACTATAGGCTTTTTAACTTTTTTGGACCAGAAGAAGTGCCTTGGATTCCTTTCTATAATAAAAGTAGCCTTCTTGAGCCATATGATAGTGATCATGTGAGGAAATAACTTTATGATGCTTTTATGATGATTTGATCTTTTTGAGGGCCAACATCAACATTTGATGTTAATGCATTAAGAAAAAAAAACAAAAAAAACAATCAAAGCATTCTTCATAATTTCTTAAGTATGAAAGTCATGCAGGTTTGGCTTGAGGGTGAATAAATGATGACAATTTTTTTTTGGATGAACTTAAAGCTGCAGTCCGTAAGTTTTGCCTCTTTGTCGCCATCTCTGTTTGAAAACCTGCAATTGCAGTGGTCAGGCCACTGTGGTGGTAGGCCAGGCCAAAGGGCACAGTCTTCTGTAGCACAGGACACAAGGATCCATTCCCACTGTTCTTCAGTTCACCCAGAAGAGTGGCTTTCTCTGCCTCCTTGTGTTTCAGAAACTCCCTGGAAAAAAAGTAGAGGTTTAATTTCAAATGTCAATGAAACAAAAAAAAATTAAAAGCACTTTAAAGGGATAGTCCACCCAAAAATTAAAATTCTGAAAAGATGGTATTTTGAAGAATGGTAATCAAACAGTTTCAGGTGCCACTGAATTCCACAGTATTTTTTGTCCATACTATGGAAGTCAATTAGACCCAAAACCGTTTGGTTACCAACATTCTTCAAAATATCTTCTGTGTTCTGCAGAAGAAATAAAGTCATACAGGTTTGGAATGACATGAGGGTCAATAAATGATAACAGCATTTTCATTTTTGGGTGGACTACACCTTTAAGGACTCTATAGGTCTACTCACTTATTTAAATACTTGCAGATCATTTCAGCTAGATTCTCACAGTTCTTCTTGGTGGCACAGAAAATGAGGCAGGACTGCTGAGGGATGACTTCAGTAGCCAGAGCTATGATGCGGTTAGGGTCCATTTTCTGCATTCCACTGGAGTACTGAAAAAGTCCATCGCACAAAGGTTCAATAAGCTCAGTAGATTGATATCTTATTGAGTTAAAAAAAAAGAAAAAAAGCTTAGCACTGTGGGGCTTTGGCCATGAGAGATTATCAATACCTTAAAATCCAGGAGTCGTGAGAAACTGAAGCATGTCTCTTCCCTTGGGTCAACTTCATATATGCTGTCCTTTATCTTTACATACTCTTTCAGCTCAACCTACAGAATCACCAGTTATTTATTTGAATTGAGCTGATCAAATTTAAAGCCTTATTAAATCATAGTCACAGTCTTACAGGTCTGAAGTCATTGGTGTAGTTTTCAGCTTTCAGGAAGGTCTGAAGATCTCCCACGTTGCCTAATGTTGCACTCATACCAATAATTTGGGTGGATTCTGTGGAGAAATAACAATGGAGTTAACAGAATCTGTAATGAGTGACCATCACACAAATAGAGTACTGCATGTGTGATTTTCGGGTACTCACTGCTCATGTACAGAATCTTTGACAACGTCATTTCAAGAATTGCCCCCCTGCTCCCATCACCAAGCATATGGAGCTGAAAAAAAAAAAGACATTCATTTGAAAAGCTTATATACACTACTGTTCAAAAGTTTGGGATCGGTAAGATTTTTTTAATTAATCGTTTTATTCAGCAATGATGCATTAGACTGATCACAAATGGCATTTGTTAACATTGTTACAAAAATGTATTTCAAATAAAATGCTGCTGAATCCTGAAAAAAAAAATCCACAAAAATTTGAAGCAGCACAACTGTTTTCAATATTTACAATAAGAAGAAATGTTTCTTGAGCACCAAATCAGTATATTAGAATTACAATAAGATTTCTTGAGCACCAAATCAGTATATTAGAATGATTTCTGATGGATCATGCGATACTGAAGACTGGAGCAATGGCTGCTGAAAATTCAGCTTTACCATCTCAGAGATAAATTACATTTTAAAATATATTATTAGAACTATTTTAAATTGTAATAATATTTTACAATATTACTGTATGTATGAAAAATAAATGTCAAATAAATGCAGCCCTGGTGAGCACAAGAGACTTCTTTCAAATAAATCCTACCGAACCCAAACTTTTCAGTACTAGTGTATCAAAACAAAACCGAAACAAATAATAAACAAATATACTTTAATAATAATAATAGTTTGTGATACATACCTCATCCACAACAAGCAGGCCAATATTGTCTAGACGGTCATTCTCGATCAGTGAATTGACAAGACTGTGTCCCTTCTCAATAGTTGTAATGTACAGAGAGTTTTTATTTCTTCTCTTGACTGGAGGAAACCTCCCTTTACTGCCAGCATACTCCTCGACCATGAAGTCCAACTCAATTCCAAAGTTAGACAACCCTCGAACCTAAAGGCAAATCAATGCATATAAGTGGATTAACAATACAGTAATAATTATCCAAAACTGCTTGATGTACACTTGATTGCCCCACTGCTTAGATAATACATAAAACATACATAAACACATACCTTTTCCTGAACCAAGGATATGTATGGCAAAATAAGCAGTGCATCTTTCTTTCTACACAAGAGCTCTTTAAATATGAGAATCTCTGCCACTAGAGTCTTTCCTCCACTTGTTGGTAAAGAATAAATTAGATTTCTCCTTTGTTGCACCGAATCCAGGCTCAAACACGTCTTCTGCCATTCTAAAACCAAAAGAGAATGGAAAATAACAAGAGGATTAAAACACTGATTTACCAGATGCTGATAAGGACAAAACTGGAATGGAAAGGATGTGAAATACTTACCATACAAGTCCTGGATTCCCTTTAATATCAAAATAAGGTCTTTAACTTTGGATGGGAGACCAAAAAAAGGGCCCAGGTCCTGCTCAGCTGATATGGACTCCATGGCCTGCATGGCAAAACTCATTTCTTCAGTCATCACAGCTTCCTTTTGTTGTACTGTCTTGGAGACAGTACTGGATGTTGCCGCATTGTCTATCAGTACTTTCTTAAGATGATCTTTCATGCTTCTTCTGGCCTTTGGGGGTGGCTTGTTGACATTGAGATCTGCATGATTGACAGCTGGCCTGGGATTCATCAAATCAGGGGTAGAGGTGTTATGTGCACTCCTGGAAGGGCTTTTGTGTGAGGTCGTGACAGCTTTTTGAAATTCAAGTTGAGAGCTTGGCAAAGCTCTGGGTGGTGAATCTCTGAAATCCTCTGCTAAGATTGAGTCTGAAAGATCATCCTCACAGGCATTTGGAGTCTGCTGGTCGTGACACTGCCTCATTTAGAGCTCCACATCTTCAAGCTTAGCTAGAAAGGAGCTGTCACCCACAATGCTGTCATAACCCTCAAATAAGTCCTCATTGTCACTGCAGCACTGCAGAAGAAAAGAAACACCATTGGCATGCTTGAAATCAATGTACATCTTTCACTGAACGTAAGAAGGGGCTGCTTACCAGCTCTGTGCCTTTATTCTCACTCATGTTTTGAGTATAAGTGTGTCCTTCAACAGTACAGCATGTTTCTGATGTGAAACTGGACCGCTTCTTGGCTGGAGTGATGTGACTTCTCATGCCATCCCTTGATCTCTTTCTTGAGGAAGAATTGCGCTTTACCACAATCTCGTGCATGTGGTTGTCAGTATACATTACTACTGTAAAGCTACTGGACACTGATTTTACAACATTTTGAGATAATACTGACGTATTGTAGAGTCAGTAATTGACACCACAACAAAGAGTCGAAGCTGTTTATTCACCCATAGTCAAGTCTGTATGACGGTTAAGTAGCTGACCTTAGTCAGTAGGTCAAAACAATAACAAAACAACTAAATATATATTATTACACAAAATAATAGTGAGCGGCGACACACTAACCAATGTTTACCAAAAGCGAGGACTTTCGAAAAGATGAGTGATGGAGATGACCAATGGGAGTTCGCCTTTCGACCACGTGACTGTTAAAGCGTCAAGACGAGAGAAAGCAGAACAAAAGTCCCACCAGTCCTTCACAGAAACAGACTTGAATAAACTCTTCCGAAAATGAAAAAAAAAAAAAAACTATAAAACTTCATAAGCTTTTTATATAAATGTCATATTTTATTCTATATTGATTCTTTATTAATGAAACGCATTTTCATAAAACATAAAAGCTGATTGCAATGTTTTCAAGAATGCAAAATGATCCATGCACTTGCAAAATCTATACAACTACAAAATCTTTTCAGACAATTGTTCTATTATTTTATTATATTTTATTTTTATTATTTACCATTGGTTCTTTATCAGTGAAACTTTCTGTCAATTAGGCCCAAAGTTAACTAAAGTTTTTCGAATGTATTTAAATATTCTCTTTCCAAAAAAGAGGGGGTCTTTCAAGAATCCAGAATGATCCATACACTTATATAATATTATATATATATATATATATATATATATATATATACATATATATATATACATCCATGCACTTGCAAAATCTATACAACTACAAAATCTTTTCAGACAATTGTTCTATTATTTTATTATATTTTATTTTTATTATTTACCATTGGTTCTTTATCAGTGAAACTTTCTGTCAATTAGGCCCTAGGCCCAAAAAAGTTTTTCGAATGTATTTAAATATTCTCTTTCCAAAAAAGAGGGGGTCTTTCAAGAATCCAGAATGATCCATACACTTATATAATATTATATATATATATATATATATATATATATATATACATATACATATATACAAAACCACTGTTATTCTCTTACCCAGTAACTAGGACATTTTCGTAAGCGCACAGCTTAATAATGTAATTATTTGATTAACCTATATGTTAAAGGAAAATATAGGATGATGTCCTGACCTGGATTTTTTTATGTATGATAGCATGTTAGTCATGAAATGATTTAAAAATATTTAATCTGTTTCAGCACAATGCAGCAGAAGTCTGACAACATCTCAGCAAGAACCTCTTAAGAAAGGTGATATGATACGTTTTTTTATTTTTTTTTTACATGCGTTTCTGCTTGACAGTTTAATTGTTTTAGTTCTCTGAAACCATTTGAATGATTTGCATTAATATTACAACATGTCTTAAACAGCCTATCAAAATGGAAAACCCATACAAGACCCCCCCAAAAACTTGCATTCTGTGCAATATAACTGTAGACTTCAGAAACGTTCAGGTTGGTCAAATGAGCAGGAATATGAATATCAGTTATACATTCTTATTCGCAAAATAATCAAAATGCTCTTTTTCTCCAGCTGTTGTCTCAGTTCATTTCACCACACACAGGCAGAATATATGGCAGACACATAACAGGTGAGTGGACTGAGTTCAGATGTTCACATTAATATTTTTATAAATGTGTTACAGTAATTTAGGACACCGTAACTCTTGCTCACAGGCTTGTGTGGTCGAAAGCATAAAGAAGTATCAAAGGCAATAAAGAAAGCTCGTTCAATGGGTAAAGAATTTATGGCTTTAATTTGTTTTTATTTTTATGAATGAAATATACATGTGTTTTCAGTACAATATCCATAGATATACAGTAAAACCAGGATATTTGACTAACAAAGGTCTTTGTAATGTCTACAGGTTTTATGTCAGTCACTCTGAAGGATCCACAGTTTATTAAAGACCCTGATATTTGTGGTATCAAACATTTTGAATAGGTTCTGTATGAAGACTGACACTGCAGACCAGCCTTTTGTTTCTGTAAATCTGCTTTGTAAAATATATAAAATGGTGAAAAATAAAGTGGAACATAATTATAACCTGATGAACCTGAAATCCATGGAGTATTATACTACTATAATGAAAAAATGAATAAAATTCAATTAAATAAAAATGCCACATATGTGAATTCAGTATTTAATTTTCAAGGAATTTATAAACATTTACAAATAATGTAAAAAAAAAATGATATTAAACAACAAAATAGCGCAATTTTAGATGAGCACGCATATTAAGATAAAGGCAACCTCCAGGTATTCCAGTCTTGGTTAGATTGCTGTACCAATAAAACCAGGCTCAGTTGCATTCTTTAAAAGATAGGAGAGTTACTTCTGCTCTGTCCGTTCATCTCAACCTCTGTATCTGACCCGCTCTCGGAGGCCAACTCGCTGGTATTATTAGTTTTCCTCTTCCTTTTAAGTCTCTGAGGATAACTAGCGACGAGGCATTTTTTCCTGAGTCGGGGGGCTGTGTCCTTCCTCTTGGTGTGTTGATTCTCCAGAATCAGAGGCAGCTTGGTGGGAATATCAATGTTATGGTCGGTATTACAGCACAGTTCTAATACAGGGAAGCCCTGAACGGTGAGGGTTTGTGTCTGTAATGAAGGCGCATCGGGGAAGAG